GTGGCAGACAGTAATTTTGTTAGAAGGAAAGTTCTGGTACCATATGTCCATGAGAGGTATAAGGAACCCTTCCAAGATATTCTCATTTTTATTGGTGTTTCTTTTGGTTTTGGAGATAACTTCTCAGTATGTCTCCCTGGCTGGCTTTGTAGAACAGGCTGGTCTAAGCTCACAGAGATCCTCCTGTGTCTTCCTCTTCAGTACTGGGATTAAAGGCTGTAGCACTATAACCCGCTATTCTAGTATGTTTATATTCATCCTTGAAACCTAGCTTATCATCATTTTCCACATTCTGGACATTTTCATCTTATTCCTGATCCTAAGATTGGAATCAGAACACTTTTTAAAAAGTTTTCTCTTTTTTGGGGGGTTAGTTTTGATGCCTAATGTTGAATTCAGGTGTTAGCTTGTGATCACCACCCATTCTTCCACTGAGCTTCCCCTATGCCCAGAGTTGCCCACAATGGACTGTAGGAACTGTGTCAGATAAATGTCTAAGTAGAGGAATGGGCCTTGAGTGGTTTCATTTTAAAAATTCTTTTTTGATTTATTTTCTTTTATGTTTACACGTGTTTTGCATTCATGTATGTAAGTGTACCAGTGTCTTGCTGTAGAGATAGTTGTTAGCTCCCAATGTTTTTAACCAATGAACCATCTCTCCTGACCTTAGTATTTATTTTTTAAGGTAGGTCTTTTTTTATTCTTAGGCTTACAAACCCTGAATGAATACATATCCTCTGTCTTTTGAAAAAAGATTATTGTAAAATAAGAAAGCAATCTTCACTTGAAAGCAACGTCTGCTGCATGATCGGTTCTTATATTACTTTAAAGTTTTTTTTGTGTGTGTTGAGAGAGTGCCTGTTCTGGCCTCCCTCTGGCATAGGGGCAAGAGAACTGACTGCCTGAGACCACCTGATCCTGCCCCCACCTGATGGTGAGCTTCCCCAAATCACCCGCACCCAAGCCCCTACTGGAAGTACATGAGACCGCACTGAAGGCCCCTGGGTAGACCTCCGACCATTAGGTAGGAAAACCTGAGATCTCAGGAGACCACCAGAGTGCGTATTCCGGCCCCCCTCTGGCATAGGGGCTTAGAACTCTGTGGATCACCCAAAATTGCACCCCGCCGGTAGGGAACTTACCAAATTTTGCCCTGATTTCCCTCTAGTAGAGGTCCAGACCTTCGAAGGAAACCTGAGTGTACCTGAGTGGAACCAACATACCCTCCTGTGAGAGATCCTAAGTAGCTGATCTCAAGCCATCATATCCCTCCAAAATAAAATGGGAGAGCACCTGAAACCAGGACCAACCAGCTTTACACAACCAATAAGGAAAGGACCAAGGCACACCAATAATACAAACAGAAGCAAATGTCAACTTAATTTTCACATCAGAATCTCAAGCACCAAAGAAATTCACATCGCAATAAATGCAAAGCCAGAACACTACATCCCCACCGAACCCCACCAGTCCTGTAGAAGAATTCTACAAGGAGAGAACCCTCCAGAAATAACCCAGGATACGGAATTTAAAGGAACAATCATAATCATTGTCAAGGAATTCCACGAATTTAAATAGCACACGAACAAAAAAATCAAAGAACTCAAAGAAGATGGGGATGTACTTCTGAATGAGTTCACAAAGGTATAGAAGCATTGAAGAAAACTTAGGCAGAAATGATGAAGGAAGTTTGAAAACGTCAATAAGTCATCTTGAAACAACAAGGGAGAGCCTGACCGAATGAATGAAATGCAAAACAGAAAATCAACACTGGAGGATAAAGTTGAAGAATTGGATCACTCAAGTAAAGATTATGAAAAATTAAAGAAAAAAACCAGGAATGGAATATGCAAGAGATGTGAAAAACCATGAAAAGACCAAATCTACATATCATATTCATGGAGGAAAGTGAAGAATTTCAGGTTAATGGTACTGACCAGATATTACTCCGAATCATAGAAGAGAATTTCCCCAAATTAAGGAATGACATCCCATACAAATACAAGAAGTACACCGAACGCCAAATAGACAGGACCAGAAAAGAATCTTCCCATGGCATATCACTGTAAAAACCCTAAATGCACCCAACAAAATGAGAATACTGAAAGCAGCAAAAGAAAAACAAGTCACTTATAAAGGAAAGCCCACCAGAGTTACAACTGACGTATCAGTGCAAACTATGAAAGCCAGAAGTGCCAGGAACAAGGTGTTTCCAGTTCGAAATGACAATGGATGCCAGCCCAGCGGACTCCACACAGCACAACTTTCTATTACACTTGAGGGGGAAAGAAAAATCTTCCATGACATGAATAACCTGAAAGAATATATTTCCCCAAAATCAGGCCTTGAAAGAATAGTTGAAGCAATACAAAGGACAGAAAAAGAAGCAACTATACCCCCGGGACAATGAAAGAAAGTAAAGATATAATTGAAGAAACACAATGTCAAACAAAGAACACAAACAGCAAACAAAATGATGGCAACCAATACACCTCTTTCAATAATAACTTTAAATGTCAGGGAAAAGGATGTTCCCAGCAAATGGCACTAAGGAAGAAGCAGGGGTTGCAATTCTAATATCTGATGAAATCGACTTCAAACTAACACTAATCAGAAGAGATAAGAAGGGTCACTTCTTTCAGATCAGACAATTAACCAAGAAGATATCACAATCCTGAACATATATGCACCAAACTTTGGTAGACCCAAATTCATACGAACTACAATACAGGACTTTAAGACACATATTAACTCAACTCAGTAATAATATGGGACTTTAATATACCACTGCGTCCATTAGACTGGTCAGTTGGACAAAGAATAAACAGAAAGACATCTAAATCAAACGATCCATACATCAAGTAGATCTGACAGACATCTTTCGAATATTCCACCAAAGCACCGAAGAATACACCACCTCCTCAGCAAATATGGAATGTTTTCAAATGTGACCACGTAGTAGGGCATAAAACAATCCTCCACAAATATAAAATATTGAAATAATTCCATACATTCTATCAGACCACAATGCACTAAAGCTCAAAATCAACACTGGAGGAAGTCCTCGTCACTACACAAACTCTTGGCAATTCACCAACACACTCCTAAACAATGTGTGTTTAGGTCAAATGAGGAATTAAGAAAGACAGAAAAGATTTCTTGGAATTGAAGAAAAAAGGACAATACAACACAACACAACTGGTGGGACACTTTTTCAGCAGTTCTAAGAGCGAAGTTTATATCTCTAAGTGTACATTAAAAACTTGGGAAGAGCCCAAATAAATGACCTAACACTGCAAGAGACATTTAAAGAAGACTGCCAACCAATACTACTTGAATTACTCCAAGTGATAGAAACAGAGAAGTACCAAATTCCTTCTATTAAGGCAGCATCACTTTAAAATCCAAACCAAGTAGACACAAACAAAAAAGAAAGCTATAGACACAATTTGCAAAGCTAAACATAACAGACTGACCGTTTAGTCCAGTTAACCAAAAGATAGAGAAAATCTAAATGAACAAATCAAAGATGAAAGGAGAAACATCACAACACACACCTAAAAGACCCAGAACATTCTAAGGGAATATTTAAAAAACCTATACTGCACCAATTTTAAAAATCTAAAAGAAACAGATGGATACTTAACATCATGGGAGCTAATGA